TAACTTGAGCAGAATGTTATGGAAACCCTATTATGGCATAATCGTTTTCATTATGCCGTGAAATTTTGAATCGAGGGAATTTAGGGTGTGTGTTGCTTAGCAAGTACCTTGCTTGTTTCATTGTTTAGATGGTACAATGGCTGAATGTAGTAAGATTAATTTGAAGTTTCTGTACGATTTGGAATGAAAGGGAAAAAGTGCATTAATTGCCTATAGTGTAAATGAAGGTTTGCTTAGTAGCCATTTTCCAAACAGTCCGGAACTACATAGTATATTTTTTACTCTTATTTTTGTGAATTTATATGTCTACGCCGATATACGTATTCTAGTTCAGATAATTTTAGGAAGTTTTTGAATGCTGTTAAGGAAATTTGTGTGCCACAGACAGAAGACAAATGAATCTCTAAATAAGTTAAGTAGATATTTGCTTTGTGTAGTGCTTAAATGCATAAAAGGTGTTTCCTTTTTTATGTTATTTTATTGTTTGGTTCAAAATGTAGTTTATTGAGATTATGTATTTTTTGTTAGCCTCTACTGTAGAATTGGGTGCGCCTTTGACTTTTTAAGTGAAAATATATTGATGTGTACATGAACAAACTCAAGGGAGTGCGTAAGGCATAGTTTGTGCAATTCTCTGATGTTTTTTTAAGTGAAAATAGGTCACTGTGTACATGGATAAAGTGAAGGAAGTTTGCAATGCCATTTTTGTGCAATTTAAAAGTGAAAATAGGTCAATGTGTACATAGATACCGAGTTTGTGCAATTCTTTGTCTTGTTATTTTGTCTTTGTGTAGCAACGATTTAGCCTAGTTTATGCAATTCTCTGATGTTTTTTTAAGTGAAAATAGGTTGATGTGTACATAGATAAAGTCAAGGGTGTGCACAATGACATTTTTGTGCGATTATGGGATTTTCTTCTAAGTGAAAATAAGTTGATGTGTGCATGAATACCTAGTTTGTGCAATTCTTTGTCTTATTATTTTGGCTTTGTGTCGCCATTTTTGGTGTAAAAAATTGCCAAGGGGTGCCCTAAAATATACTTTTACCAGCAAAAAGCAATTGTTTTTCGACATGGCTATCGATTGATAAGCTATTTTTAGGCAACCCCGAGAAAAAAAGCTATTAATAGGCTATCGTTCTGTAGGTGTTGGTGAAAAAAGCCGATTAATAGGCTATGAGTCGGTAGGCATTGGCGAAAAAAGCCGGTTAATAGGCTTTCAGTCAGTAGGCTTCGGCGAGTAAAAAGCCAATTAATAGGCTGTCTGTTGGTAGGTGTTAGCGAAAAAAAGGCCGATTAATAGGCGATTGGTCAATAGCCGTTGGTGATAAAAAGTTAATGGGCTACCGGTGGGTAGGTGTTGGCGATAAAAAGTCGATCAATAGGCGATCGGTCAGTAAAGTGTTAAAATATTGTCGCCGTATCTGTAAAGTACTGTGCTAACCAGCAGTATTTTAAAGTTACCGATTTAAATCCAGATGGTCAGGCCGTATGGCAAAACAAGCAAAAGTATTTATTTACACTCTAGTCTGTTACAGAAGTATAGTTATGGTTAATGATGAAAAAGTAATGGTAGAAAATAAAATCTTGTTTACTTATATACTAGCCGCTATGCAGCCAGCCTTCGTCTGGCATTTAAATATAACGGGAAACAAATATCCTTTCGAGAAACTTGACAAATGTCGTATCCTGTCAAAAAACATTCTGTATCAAGAGAAAATTAAATTTAAAAACTGTGCAGAATTACCACCCTCATTTTTCCGAGTGGCAACAGTGCTGATGTCATCAACAATGGCAACAATGGCTGCATGCTTTCGATTTAATGCAATTTCGTCAGAAAACATGAAATAAAAAAAAACTCATTCTAATTTTGAAAATATCACTTCGAGGTCCACTGGCTCTTGTCTAGATGCACCTATGTACCAAATTTGCAGCCCTAGGTGTATTAGCTTACGCACAGCACGAACGAAAAAACACAGATAGACTCTTCCTTTTATTATATGTAGAGATGAAATAATATACTTCTACCATGCTGAGATGAAAAAACAATTTACTATGTTTCTTACTTCATCTTTACAAGAGTTTGATATGGGTACTATTGGTGACACGACTGATATCTCTGAAGAAGAAAAAGTTGATTTTAAGAATATGCTGGGATCTGTTTGAGAAGAACTTTGGTGCCATTGTCATATGGGCCATGTTGCATCAAAGGTTTGTAATGATGGAATAAGAAACTTAAATAATTATTTTTTCATGTAAATATGTTTGCAGTGCATCATTTCATATAGGGATAAATGTTTTAATCTACCATTTTACATTTGAATCACTGTTTATGTAGTTAGGCATCACTTCTTAAAAAGACAAAAATTACGTGTAAATTAAATTTCTGGTAGCAAGCTATTTGCATGATTGATAGGTTGTACTAACCTAACTGATCTCTAGCATCCTTTCTAGATGTTAACTTAAGTAATAGAGTCTGCTTTAAACTTCTGAGTGCCATGACTGGCTTTTTATGGTCATGAGATTTTTCATCAGTTGGTATATATATTAGCTTATAATTTAAGATACTTTATTTTCTTACTGTCTTTTATAATAAAAATATTATTTTAATGAATGTAAGCTTATGAAAATAGACTAAAATATGTAAGTATACAAATTTAGTTAATAAAAGCTGTTTAAATAAATGCAGTTTATCATGATAGAGCCAATTAATTGTGCCGCTCAGTGGGCTAGAGTGATACAGAACAGAGTTCGAAATCCGGATGTCCATTATCCATAATGATCCAAAATCTGGACTTCAAAACGACCACCAACCTTCTTTTTTTGTAGGCTTTACGCATGCGCATTTGATTCCCCCTCTGCGCATAATAAAACATCTGGAGAGTCCCAGTTCATAATTTTACTTCGCTACTAAATAAAATACTTTGTTATTATAGAAATAATCATTTTAGCATAAATTTGTACGATCAGTAATTTGGCTCCGTTGCTGCATATCTGCTTTGGCACACATCTCAAACTGAAACATTCCTCATAGATACATCGATCTGATGCCAACCTGGCAAATCATTATTTATTTTACTTTCTTTTCATCGCCTCATGTTTATCAAAACATGACAACTTGAGTAATGACTCATGTAGCGATGCCTAAACAATTTTTTTAATGTTAGTAATTGAATAATAAATGAGTTGTCCTTTTATGTTGACATTACACTTGGCGATGATTACAGATTTAAGTTAAATGCGCTAAAAAATGTTGACAAGGAAAATTTACCAAAAATTTCTTTCCATATGCTAAAAATAGATTCTGTTGATGATCCCTATAGACTCAAAGATTAGTATATGTGGGAATTTATTTATTCAGAACTCTGATAAGCCTTAAGCACATGCCAGAAATAGACATAAGTATAATAAATAACTAAAGTAATGCAATTCAGGCTTAATTGTCTCGGCGAGCGATTGAAGCAAGATAAAATTTAACAGAACAGCTTGTCATTAGTTGCCAAGCTCATGATGCATAGCCAAATATGTATAGTGAAGGATAGCTAAATTTGATGATCATAGCCGCTAAATTTAAAGGTTTTCGGATATCGTAAAACAAAGGTGAAATTTTCCAATTAATGGATTTTGTGGTTGGATCCTAGCAGTGCCCACACCCTTGGCGTGCCCACTTATATGGTGCGTATCGATGTGTACATAGACAAAGTCAAGGCAGTGTGCAATGGCAAGTTTGTGCAATTCTCTGATTTTTTTTTTTTAAGTGGAAATAGGTTGAGGTTTACATGGATACCGAGTTTGTGCAATTCTTTGACTCATTTTCAAATTGGCGATTTTGAGAAACGCACGAAGCAGTGGGTGATTCTGCGCTTTCCCAGTTTGTCACCAAGGGTGTGGGCTCTCTTAAGATTTTACCGATTTTGTTTTAAAGAAATGTGGAGAAGCGGTAATAAATGAATGTGATATAAAAGGAAGTTTTTCATTGTGATGACAATGCTTCTCAATCATAAATCATTAATGAATGACGAAATCTGTAGTATGGTTCTAGATTCAGAAAATACTGCTTCCGATAGTGAAGAAAGTGACAGAGAAGTTACTGAGAACGAGGAAATTTCGATTGACAAGTTAGTCGGAATTCTCGAAACAGCAGTTACAGGACTTCAAGATTATGTCTGTCTACAGAATTAAAGAGAAAATATTAGCACAAAAAACGAGGCAACTTAAACAACTTACATTGACAGAAATGTTCAATAAGGTAAAAAAATAAAGTTTTTTTTTTTTTTTTGTAAATTTTGATATGTTTTAGATTGTAAATACTTCATTGTCTCATAAATCACGATTTCATGTTTTTAATTTTATAATTTTTACATGCCATCGTACTAGGTTTAAACTGAAAAAATCCCAAATCGCTGAAGTCCCGATGAATCCGGATTTCAGACTTTGTACTGTACTAAATTCTATGTACCAAATTTACTTACTAATCCAAGTTTGACATAAGTACAAGCAGAACCACATAAAACTATTATGCACCTTGGAAATGAATTAGAATTGAATTACTCTAACTTTTAGTTCTTGCTCACGCAGTGGCTAAATAGATACTATGTGAGCTTTATTTTGCCAAATTTATATTGTTCACGGAACAAGTTGTACAGTTTTTACTGTTGTATCTCCCCCTAAAAGAATGTTTATCACTGGAAAAATTTAGTACAGACACAAACTATTGTGTGTCATTCATGATCAGGCTGAAATTGAAACAACTGCTCTATAACTGAAAGTACCTAATAATAATATGTGTGTTATTATACAAAGTATTCTGTTTGCTTTGTTTATATTGGGTGAAAATATGCATTTGTGTGTTTTTGCATTTCTGTGTGGAAAGCGTCACTTTAGTCTGTTTTGAAATGTACTACTTTTATGTTATTTTTAATTTGGGTTGTTAATTTTTAGAATAGTGTATTATTATTATCAATTATGATTAAAAATTCCATGTTTGTTTATGAATTTACAGGAAACTACATAAAGCACAACAGCAGGTAAAAGTCATAAATGACATTATGGCTTCGATACAAGAAGCTAAAAAATGTGGCCACTCAATTCCTGTAGAGTATCTGCATCTTTTATCATCCATAGAGATTAGAGATGGAAAAAATGAACTAGATGAATCAGAATTAGACACAGATAGCGAAATTGATGAAGCTTGTTCCAATGTAGTTCCAGAAGGCAGCATTTCTGAAGATATACGTACAAATGCTAAAGAAATGTGTGCTGAAATGAGGAAGAATGTTCAGAATGATAAAGAAAAGTAAAGCATATTTTACACATTATTAGTATTAAGGCTTTCTGAGAACTTTTCTTGCATCTTTTCATTTTATATTTGCACATTTAATATAGTTTTGATTTGTTTCACTTTAATAGTTTAAAATATATTTTGCTGAAATGCTCAATGAAAGTGAGAGCTCCAAATTATGATGGATTTAGAAAGTTATGGATTATTGTACTAAATGTGCATTATTTTTTTAACCGAGCACAGTTTTGTTGGAAGTCCTTTCTGCCTTTTGTTATTTTTGAATTTGGATTTTTGCCCAGCAGCTTTTATATTATCTTCAGCAATCTGTCAGGTCTTTATGTGTTATTTTAACCATATCATATGCATTTTTCCCATGTCATGAGAACTGGAAATTAGTCTTTTAATTAATTTTGTGAATCTGGAGTTGTATTATCTTTAATGAGAACCTTCAGAATATTAAAAAATTCAAATATAAAGACAGGAAAATGGTATTTTATTTCAGTTTTCTAGAAATAAATTGTTAATGATGAAGCAGATAAAAGTATTGAACACTGGTAGTTTCCCCTTAGGTATATTTTTTGAAGAAATGATCTAGCTGTATGACATTTTTCATCTAATATAAATATAAGACAGTTTTCTAAGGTCCATATGTGCCATAAGTCATGGCTCTGATGAGGTGAACCTTAATAAGACATCTTAGCATATATTTAATGCTGACATATCATCTTCAACAGTCACTAACACAATAGTCATATCATTTTACTGAAACACTATAGGACATGCTGTGGAAAATTGGTGGCAATGATGGAAAATTAGAATCTCTCTCCCATAAATGAATCTACATGAAATCGCTATCTGTGTCTGTGTAATTCAGTAAAATGCTAGCTTTTACCAGTCAGTTTGGACATCATATCTATAAAGGACACTTTTTTGAATAAGGAAGTTCTCATTAGATACAGCCCTTGCTCTTTCTGAGTGTGGTAATCTTGAGTTATTCTAACCCTTCAGGTGATCACTATTTTTTTAGATGGGGATCATGTCCTGGAAACCCAGTTTTATCTCCTCTTTTTCTTTCCCTCCTCACTTAATGTTACTTTTATTTTTTCTCTCTTGTGGTTTGCCTTTTCAGAGATTGGGGCTTGAAGTGAGAAGTTGTTACATCACTCAGAGAAAATTGCATACAATTTTATCTGTAAGGCTCGGAAAGGAGAGGGCAAGATATTGTTCCCCAACACACTGCTTTGGCCACTGCTTCAGAGTAAAACTGTAGGCAATACAGTGATCGCCTGAAGGGTTAGGATAACTCAAGATTACCACACTCAGAAAGAGCAAGCCCCTGAGGGCTGGATCTTATGAGAACTTCCTTTTTCAAGAAAGTGTCCTTTATAGATATGGTGTCCAAACTGACTGGTAAAAGCTAGCATTTATCAGAGAGAGATTCTAATTTTCCATCATTGCCACCAACTTTACACAGCATGTACTATATCCTGCAGTGTTTCAGTAAAATGCTAATGCTAATCCTTAGTGTCAGTGGCTTGGATATAAGATTTTGGGAATTATGCTTCCAGGAAAGCTGATTGTGGGGTGGCTTCAGACTGCATGTAGACTGTGTGGGATTTCATGTTAATTAACAAGTTATTATGAGTTGAATCTTTAACTTCTGTCTATAGTCTTTAGCAAAATGCAAATTAGTTGTTTTTTTATTTAAATTGAGAGTTTCTGGCAGTCATGTCTCGCTGTTACGTATTATTACCAGCTATTCCAAAGTTACTTTAACCTTAGCATCTTGCTAGCTGACATTAAAAATATACATTGGTAATTATCTTCAACTGGCCTTAGTAGTATGGTCTGTGTAATTTCAAACTATGTTACTAAGATACGAATTTAAGTTACATTAATTTGAGTACCTACAGGTTGCAGAGTATCAGCTGCCACACAAGTAGTGCCTTCTGTTCATTTAAGAGCTAAGTAGAAAGGTTATTTTAACCTTCTTAAGACTTGGTCATTTGTTCCAGGTTAAAGCAACAAGTCACTCCCTGTCTGGTAGGATGTGCTGGACATTAACACAAGCTTAGACATAACAGAACCCTGCTACCCTGGCACAGGAATATGTGTCCCCTTATTGCACTCTGTGGTGTATGGGGCCATCGTATCTCAATATCTTTAATCTTTAAAAAAAGCAGTTATTAATTTATCATTTGTCTCAGAAAATGTGACCAAGTCGAGTAAAAATTTAAAAATTAGTATACCTATTGTAAATGTAAATAATGCTTTCTTACCTTTTCTAGTGAAAAAAAGCGATGTCAGTACATACTACACATACTTGGCCAAATGTTGTCATCTTTTTAGCATAATATAGGAGAAATGGAAACAAATCCCCTTAACAGTTTATGAGAATGTAATTGTGTTAGAGAAATGTTGTTATGTTAACTAACCAGTTATTACGATTTTAATCTTTACTTTTTCTTATAGTATTCCTCACCAGAATCAAAATTAGCATTAAGTGTATTTAAGCTGAGGAGAGCTTTTGGATCTTGGACAGAGAGAGAGAGAGAGAGTTTCTGGCACTCGCACTGTGCTATTACATTCTTACATTCTGCTAGCTGTATCTAAATGTAATTAACTTGGCTTTTGCATTCTCTTGCAGCCGATACTTTAAATTTACACCAGTGTTTTATTTGTACCTTAGTATTTGATGGTATAGTCTTAAACTACTATATCAGGGTTTAAACTTAAATATCTGACTTTGTTTAATTTACCTCGTGACAAGTGGTTTATCTTTAGCACAAGTCATGCCATTTACATACAAGTTGTTTAACAAAAAGGTTTAATGGCTATTTATCTTTGAAAATCTTTATCATAATATTTCAGATAAGCCATAACTCACTACTTGTCTAGTAAGTTGTAGGACTGAAAGTCAAGTATCCAGCTGAAATACAACCTTATGAATTCGATAATCTGAAATCTAATGGTTCAGCACTTACGATAATCCAGCATGCACATCCATAAATCTTGTGCCATCTGACGGCGTAACAAGATTGTCATTTTGCAACACTATTCAGAAACATTTAGCAGTTGTTTTAATTATAAGTCATTTCTGCTTTATTTGCTGTGCAACAGGCATTAGAAGCAGTTTTGAAGAGAAAGGGATTCTGGAGGACTTTCTTGGGCTAATGGTTTTTTGAGGATTTTCACTAAAAATTTCCATTTTTGAAAATAACTGTAATGGTCATTCCCGTATCCTCTGAATTCACATCAAACAAAATTGTTCTTCAAAATATCATCTGCAAATATACTTACTTCATCCTTTAGTTGAAGGAGTTATTCAAACTTGAAATGCAAATATTGCTATTTTTTCTCAAACATTTTTAAATTATGGTTCCAGTGTCAAAGAATAGTACATTCAGTTCATTTAAAGTTTTGCTATTGCCACTGCTTGAAAACCTTTGAAGAGCATAATTTTACATAAAGTTTAATCCAAATTATTGCTGGGTGTTAGGAAACTTCATTCTTTTGAAGATGAAAAAATACATATTATCAGCCAGTCTAAAATGCCGAATGTAATTCAGTGTTCCTTCAAACAATCCACTACTCAGAATTTTAGAAGATTAACTAACCATTACAACAGTGTACAGTGGTGACCAAAATTGTGGACACTTTTGGAAATTTTTGTTTTTGAACTTTGTATGCTTATAGAAAATGTAACATTTTGCAAAATGCAAACTTGTATATATCATTTTAAAGAGAATTTATTACTGAATTCAATACAAAACACAAAATTCAATTATTTGCAATTTAAAAAAAGTCATATGTACTTTAATATAAATAAAAAACACAGTTATGAAGTGGTTTGTAATGTCTAGTTTTCCTGGCCAATCACTGTTCTTGTTCTGAGAACCAACCAATCAATCAAATGTTAGTAACTGCCAGTAGGAGCTGACATCATGTTTACACTTGAAACAATTCATTATTTTGCTTTGTTCTGTAGAAGGAGGACCTGTTTCTTATACACTGCAATTACAAGTAGGAATTTTTGTAAAAATTTTTAATATTTAGTCAAGAAGCAATGACATCAAATAAAAGAGTAGATTGGACACTTAGAAAGAGATGTAATATTATTGTGTTACGAGAAAGTGGTCTTTCCTATGCTAAAATTGCAAGACAGGTGGGTGGTTCAGTGACGACATCTGGAATCCGAAACTTATTCAATATCAGGAGACAAATTCAATAAAAAAACAAAGAACGCAAAGGCCCAAAAAAGTGCACCACATCTATTGATGACAGAAGAATAAAAAGACTAAGTCTCTAAGATGGAAAATGCCATCAGCGGCCATCAGAAGTGATCTGAATGATGCTGGTGTTTTTGACAGTTCAAGAACAATCAGGAGAAGATTAACAGATGTTGGACTGAGAGGTAGAATTCCACGAAAAAAAGCCTTATCTTAATTTTCAGCAATGAAAAAAAGACTACAGTGGGCAAAGGAACGCATTAATTGGACAGATGATCAGTGGTCACAAGTTATATGGAGTGATGAAACTAAGATATTATTATTCGGTAGTGATGGGCGAAAATATGTAACACGTAGAATAGGAGAAGAGCTACATCCTGACTGCATTCAAGCAACTGTGAAGAACCCAGTTAGTGTTATGATTTGGTCATGCATGTCAGCAGATGGTATTGGTCGCATTCATGTCATCGATGGGACACTGAATGCCAGAAAATACATTGACACTATTCTAGAACCAAAACTTCTACCTTCCATCAGAGATCTCTTTTCCAACAATTCTTCGTTTCTTTTTCAGCAGGATTCTGCTCCTTGCCACACGGCCAAAATACCGAAAGAGTGGTTTCGTACAAAGAGCATTAAATTGTTGTCATGGCCAGGAAACAGTCCTGACCTCAATCCTATCAAAAATTTGTGGCACCGTTTGAAAACTCTTGTCCGAATGAGGCGTCCATCAAATAAAAGGGAACTAATTGAGGCTATAATTGTTTTCTGGCATCATGTAATAACGAAAGAAGAGCTTAAAACTCTTGTCAGCTCAATGAAATTTCGATGTGAAGCTGTAATCAAAAATACAGGGTACCCTACTAAGTACTGATAACTCACTGCAATCATCACTATCTAATGTATATCAATAACTATTATCGTTTAACTTTTTTCTATTGCAAATAATTGAATTTTGTGTTTTGTATTGAATTCAGTAATAAATTCTCTTTAAAATGATATATACAAGTTTGCATTTTGTGAAATGTAACGCTTTCTATAAGCATACAAAGTTCAAAAGCATAAAAATTTCCAAAAGTGTCCACAATTTAGGCCACCACTGTATATTCATTGGAGCATATGAAAAATAATGAATGTTGAGTTTATGAAGTATGTAAGCATTTTAATGTTCTTTGAAAAAGACTTCTTAATGTGTTATAAATTGCAGAAATTTTAAAACCTAAATTTTTAAGAATGCTGTGTTGCACCCGTAATTTACTCTCTAATGTGTTTTTAATCATTAAATACATTTTTTAGGAGTAATAATACTTCTTTAGTTTTTAAATTTTTTATTTTTTGCTGTGTGAAAGAATGTTTATGAAAGCACTTCTGCTGCATTATAAAGTGCAGTAATGCAGCATATTAGGTAATTTAGCACTGCCTCATCTTGCCAAATTATTAGACTTTAGCTTTTTTTCATTAATTTAAGACATGTTTCCATGTCTGTGGCTTCAGCTGAGAAGTCTGTTAACAAAATTCAATTGAATTTTGCAGTCTTGAACATAACCCTGCTGTGTCTGCAGATCCTGATGATATGGGAATTGTTAATAGCCAACAGAATCCTCTTGCCAAGCTTCAGAGCCATTTTCATCAACTTATGCAAATGTTTCCCGTGCAGGAACAAAGAAAAGATGACCCTATCCGTTCAAGTGGTGAAGGTGAATACAGTCAGAATAGAAATTCATCTATTAATATACCAATAGCTTCACGTTTGACAGCACCTCCTGTTATGCGTCAGGATAACATACATTTAACAAGGAATGCATCTAGCAGCATGTCAGTTGCTTCAGAATGTTTGACTTCGACACCTCCTGGTGGACTTCAAGATAATTTGCAGCTGACAAGACAAAATATTGCTAGCATGGAATCACAGAATCAAAATGCAAGTGCTAATTTTCATCATAAAAGCTGTAGTTCACTCAAAAAAGATAATATTAACAATTTGTCAGGAAAGAAAGGAAAATTTTGCCTTCAAAAATCAATGGCTGGTTCATATGTTGAGATGAGAAGGGAACCAAAGGATAATTTAGATTCATTGTCTACATATAGTACAGATGTGAGTCAGAACCGAGCCACTTCTAATGAAAATGAGCGTAAAACTATTCTTGATATATTGAAAAGTGATAAAAAGAAACAGAAAATGTATGATAGAAATAAAGGAAACCAAATTTGTAGCAATTCATCTATTGATTCTGAGCCACTGGAAGGTTCAAATAGTGCCTTAGCTGCTGATACTACCATTGCAGCAACATGGGGAGGTTCAAGTACTCAGGAAAATTTTGAAGATGAAAATGATGAGCAAGTTGAAAGTTTAGAGGAGCAAGAGGAAGATGAAGACAGTAAGTGCTTTTTAAAAAATTTTCTATTAAAATAATAATAATAAAAAAAAATCCTTCCCTATTTTATCTGTACTGCGAATAGTTGCATGTGTTAACATTTTCTCGTGTTTTAATTTCTAACCCTGGAAAATGACACTGAAGTTCACTGTGCTGTATTTAAGGTTTCTAAAGTATGTACTCACATTAAGAATCTCTCTAATCTACACTTTTGTTAGTAGACTGTGTGTTGATATGCCAATCAGTTTCAAAGCAAAATTTGTGAGCAGGTAAAAAAAGTGCAGGTATTGAGCCCCCACTTTTTTGTGTGTGTGTGTGTAAGTCTGTAGGGCTGTTATTATAATGGAAGCTTAAGTACTGCAGACCTTACTAGAGGAATAGTGAGTTATCACTGTGTCTTAAACAACTCACAAAATATTAAAGAAAGTTAATATAACCTGAATATTAACAGAACAGGCACAAGTTATGATACAGACTAAACTTTCACTACTTTTGAGCATTTAACCACCTGAGTAGCATGAATGGCTTTATCCAGTCATGAGATTTTTTTATCTAGCTTATAATTTATAATATCACTTTTCTACTTTCCTTTAAAAGTGTAAATAATGAATGGAGGTTTATGAAAATAAAGATTGAATTAAGTAATTATGAAAATTTTGCTAGTAAATGCTGTTTAAATACAGTTCTTTTTGAGCAGATCCAAAAATGTGTGCCGCTCAGAGGGTTAAATTAACATAATAATTAAATTTATACTTTTATAGTGCAGTCTAAGACAACACATTAAATAGACTAAATGTAATCTGACACTTCTATTGTACCAGCTATTAAGATGATTAAGTCAGAATATAATTTTTAAGCATTTTATTTTTCATGATTTTAAGCTGGGTAATAAAGGCCACCTTTTCCATTTTCCTCTTATATGGGATAAGAGAGATAAATATATTACTTGTAAAGGTCACTAACGTTATCTGATATCAAAAGCATAATTAACATTAAAATCTGAAACTCAAAACTTCACGTTGTCTCTGAAACCTTCGGGCACAATCTTTACTAAAAATAATACAGCATGTTTTATTAGGTAATCCTTTTCCAAGAACGAACTATATTTTCACATATAACCAGTTATATTTCTCATTCTATTGTAGAAATCTATAGTTTGTTTTGTTATTAGAATGAAATGTGCACTAATAATATCATAGGCAGTGACTCATTGTCATGTGTAGTTTTGGTATTTCTGTATTTAGTTCTTTTAGTTTTATACAGTGTTCAGTGTTTTTATTCACTGGAAAAATCTTGTAAAGTTAAGGAATTACAAATGACTGCAGGAAAGTCAGAAAAGTTGTTTTAAAAAGTAAAAATAGTATGCAATAAATGAAACTTGCTTCTCTTAAAAAAGAAAATGGTTACCATTATCTATTTTTATCCCAGAAACTAGTTTACGCACCTCGTATCTGACATATTTTTATCAACCCTTATGACACCTGCATGTGTTTGGGTGCAAGAGTTCTAGCAGGTGCCAAAAAACCTCATATTATGAGTGTTCATGAAAGGAGTGAAATGTCAAAGTTTATACAAAAAAGACCACTGAATAAAAATCAAATTAGCTTTAACCCCTTAACTGCCACAGGCGTATATACATACGCCTTGCTCAGCCGATGTGTTAACTGCCACGGGCGTATATATACGCCCTTCCAAAATACTATCATTTGCTTTGCGCTGCTACCTATAAATTATTCGCAAAGCTTTGGAATGCAACACCTCAATGACCTTGACAAAGTTTGCGAAGGAGGATAATGTTTCAGAGATGTGTGGGGAGAAATTGGAGAGAGGGGTGTGTCTAAAGCGACGAAAGTAATGACTGCGTGGTATTGGCTGGTGTTGTTTGAGTAAAACTTTTTTTTTTTATTCTGTGTCATCTGTTTTCGTTTATTATTTGTAGTAGGTTCCAGGAATAAAGAAAGATAACGGATGTTTCAAACCCAATCAATCTTTTTTGAAGAACTGCTCGTGCTTCATGTTGTTACTGAAACTAACCGTTTTGTAAACGAGTATATGAACCAACACCTTGCAAACGAAAAATCGTGGCATTCAACCAGTTCAGAAGAAATATATGTTTTTTAGGCATACTGATTTCACAAGGTATAACAATAAAACCTGATACAGTATAAAGTCTTTAATCCAGAATGATCTATAATCCGAACGCATAATGCATTCGTGCATGCGCATAATACGTTTATGCATCCGCGTTTAAAGTATAACGGACGGTATAAGCTACGCTAAAATTATCTAATTATCTATTTCAGTTAATGTTGCAGATTGCGTTGTTCCTTAATCTTCTAATTGGATCCAGCTTATTATTTTTTGTAGACTGTTAGAGCAATTTTATAAAAAGTAAGCTTGAACTTGAACGATTATGTCAAAAAGAGTTTCCAATTATGGAGCTGCCAAAGGATCTACAAAGCAAAAGCATGTTTTGATGTCCATTAAACAAAAAGTTGAATTGCTACAGAAAATGTATAAAGGCATGAAGAAAGTAAGAGGTGATTTGTTTCTCTAACCATTCCGAAATCTGTTCATCAATTTCACGCTGCTCTGTGGGGAAGGGGGGAACGTTGCGGCACGCAATGAACTGGAAGTTGATCTGACAGCACTATCCTCATCTTCAGGGCAGATGTTTTTATTTTATTCGGTTTATAATTCCTTACTAAATGTAGTGTTTCATCTCGATGTACTCTAATATGATTTAAATCAATTTGCTCGTTATTATAAATATCACGAATACACACGAAATAGTTTTCTGGTTGTAATTTTCTAATTTCAACTATGTGTAATGTATGCTTTACGCATGCGCGCGTTGAAAGAAATGTTTAATAAAGTAAACAAATAAATATTAAGCTTTTTTTTTGTAAATTTTGATACCCTTTAGATCATAATTGCTCTTTATTTCATAAATTACGGTTTCATATTTTTAATTGCATAATTTCTGCATGCCATCTTACCAGATTTTAACTGGTGATCTATAATCCGGAAAAACACCCTAATCTGTAATCGCCGAAGTCCTGACAAGTCTGGATTAAAGATTTTGTACTGTATTACACTCTACTAGTCTAAAAATGAATTGATCGAAACTCCATTTTATGGATCTTTTTTATTATAAAAACATCATTTTTATTATACTTACATCTTTTTATTATACTTTTACTCAAAGCATTAAATTTTGTACATTTTTTTTTCCCTTTTATTCTTTATTTTGTGAAAGTAAACAGTTTTTAGAAAGTAAAACATGCACTTATTTTCCCCTAATACATCGCATAACTACACGCTCCTGTGTAAAAAACCGTTGCACTGGGAAATGAATCTTGTATGTTTTCCATGGCAGTTAAAGGGTTAATAGTTCTCTACTTGCGATCTCAACCTTAAAACAACATTTATAAGCTAACAGTGTGCTTGACTGAGGATTAAATGTAGGATAAAATTTTAAATATCGAGGAATTCACAACTCAGATTAAGCTAGGAAGAACCATAAATCTCTATCAGACACTAGTGCATTTGAAATATTCAGTTGCAGCTTACCATTTGAACAATCCTTTCGATGACTGTTCTACAACAGTTAGGATTACCAGCAGGCATTTGCCAACACCTAATTCACTGCAAGCATATCTCCAGTGTTTCTCATCTGCTTTCTTGGTTGCTCTCTGTTTCCTATGGTTCTTATTAAAACTTTTATACACCTATGCTTGGCATATGAAATGCTAGCATAACTTTCTGGAAATAATAAGTTGACTGAAATAAGAAGCTACAGTAAAGATGCAAATTGAAATTAACTTGTTAGTTAAACTATTCTAAACTGTCATACCTGCCATCTCCAGGAGGGGAACTTTGAATACATAGTCTTTAAGTGGACTTTATTAAAGTTTTAAGCTTAAATCAATAGGCTGTGGTTCCTTTACAACAAACACTTTGTTTCTAAAATTTTTTAAGAGGAGTACTTTCTTGACTGAACTTCTTCAGGTTGAACTCTGGAAAAAAGTTTTAATTATATATTGTGGCAATTTTTTTTAACCTTACAGGTCCTTTAATAATATATTTTTTATATTTTCTCATAATATTTTACAATTTATCTTATTTTCAATTAAGATACTTCAGTTCACCTATATATTACTTTAAACACATAATTAATTCACTTTGTAACAATAAACATTTTCATGGAAATCTTACACAGAATTTTAGCAAAAATGAACCACTTAGAACAAGTCAAATTTACGTGACTTTCCACAACACTTTATTTCAAAACATTATTTATGCTTTGCTTCAATTTTAAAGCAAGAATAAAAATTCACTTAGCTTTTTGTTTGAATCAGCACCATGCTTTCACTTTTCAGTTCAATATGCGGTTCTTTCACCACTTTTGAAATTCTTGGTGTTGTCTGGATTTCTTTGAAAGGCCATCTTTTGTTTTGAATGTTCTCCAACTGGTTATAATTTCCTGTTCACTGGACATTCGCTGACTTGAATGCATAGAGGCAGGCCATAGGAGGCTGTAATGTGCCCAGCCATGGTGGCTCACGTTTCTTCATAACGAACTGTCTTTAACTGTTGTATTTTTAGGTATTCTTCTGGGTGTATTTCTTTGAAATATTTTTCTTGTTTTTGTTGACTTTACTGTTTCTTTTAATCACTGTCAACTGTGTGCTACTATTTCTATGTGTATTCCGGTGCTTCGTATGTGCTATTTTAGCCGCTGTACCTTTTACTCGAGTGTCGTCTTCCTTTCCTATAATATTCTATCTGACTAGCGTAGTTGATCCTTTTTTTTTTATTATTTTTATATCTGTATCCCCACAGCTTCTCGACCTCTTTTTCACACTTCATACTTGATTTAAAGTCCTTTTCTGGTGCATCTGTCCTAGGTCTTGAGCTATTTCCTGTGAGTTTCTCTTGCGGTCTTCTATTATCCTTCATCCTTGATAGCATGGGTGGTACTTCTAACTGATACAATTGCA